CTAAAGAAAAGAAGTGCAACTTAAGAAATGGACAATCATCTGCAGCAAATGGACTTGTGTGCTCCCATGTGCATTTCCCTTTCCCGGGCAAAAATAGAAGAATGATGGGAAATTGTAAATACTGGTTTTGCAGCTGGGCCAGCATTATGCGCACAGCATGGGTGAAGGTGAGAGCACAGGAGATCACTTTGATCTTAACCAAAAGCCAGATTGCTGACAAAAGTATAGTAACTCATCATGTTTAATGCCACCATCAGCCAAACCCTGAAAATACCTGTTGGCTGAGTCCTAACAGGTATTAACAGAAAAACCTGTATTTAAGGGTGACTGTTTACAGTGCTGTTATCAGTCTCTTTTTAGTCTTTTCTTTCTTTCTATAGCTTTGTCATTGCTCTCTTGGGGACTAATCCTGAAAGATACCCAGTGACAAAGTCTCCCATTGCCTTAGGTGGTAACTCAGAGCACTCAATAACTCACAGGCTCAGACCTTAGAAGCATGCTTATTTGAGCCATCAGAATGTTATCACCAATGTAGACTAACATAAAATGGCAGAATAGGGAAGGTGTATTTTCATGTTTCACAGTAACCTGGAGTACAACCAAAGGCGGGACCTCAAGTTCCACAGGGGAAGTGCATAAATGGTTTGGGTTTTGGGTTTCGGAATCATCCTCAGGTTGCAAAGTGGTCAAGTGATGAAATCATAATAAAACCATGTCACTGATTTTCTTCAGAATACAATCTTCACTAGCTTTACTTCTAGCCCTCTCATACATTGTTGATGCAGATGGCATATATTATGTCATGGCTAGGTTCAAGCTCAAGGAGCTTCCTATTTCCCTTGATGGGAAGTTGTGCTAAATGAATATAGATCTCCTGCAGCCTGAACAGTTGAACTCCCACACTATTCTTATATATTTGTTACACTAACAAGGTTTTCTGTTACTGACTGTTTACAAACTGAATATTCTACCACTTTGTTTACAATGAACTCTGGAGTACAGGAATAAATCTATTAAAAGAAATTTACCAAAATAAATACAGTGATTATCAGGCCTGCTTCACTGCTATGCACCAGTTTGATGTCGATGTCAGAAATAAAATATAATACTCTTTTGGCCAAAATTATTAACCAAAACGATACTGGATGATGTTGCCATACATACGTCTTAAAAAAAATAGATGTCACTAGTATAAAGAAGCATCCAATGTCACTAAAGATATGGAAGCTAAAAATATAATTTACACCGGTTGCACTGCAGAATTACATTCCATTTTCAAAAGCCACCCAAGATATGAAGGATGGCCTTGTAACTAACGCCAGGAGGCCTAGGTTATGTTCCTATATCTACCACAGATATTCACCTTAGGCAAGTCACAAAACTGCACTATGCCTGTTTCTCATTTCTGTAAATTGGGGATAACAATTCCATACTTGACAGGATTGTTGTAGGGCTTAATTAGAGGATGTAAAGTGCTTTTGAATTCTCAGACAGAAAGCAGTACAGAAAAGCATAGTAGCACAGCCTAGTAGATAGAGCACTGGACTAGGCCTCAGGAGACATGGGTACTAATCCTGATTCCCCTACTGGCCTGCTGACCTTAGGCAAGTGACTTCACCTCTCTGTGTCTCAGTTTCCCCATCTGTGAAATGGGGATAATGAGGCTTACCTCCTTTGTAAAGCACTTAGCAATATACTGATGGAAAATGTTATCAAAGAGCAAGGTATCTTTATTATTTTTGTACAGTGTCACAGAACTGTCTAATTAAGGATCATGTTGTTGAGACTCCATGGCAATAAAGGATTGAACTAAGGACACTAAAGCAGCTTAATCTGAAGACCCTCATTTTTGTGAATTTCTATCTCAGTTATTTAACCTAGTTTACTTGAATGAATGTGCATTAATACTAATTAATGTGGAAACAATGGGAAAAGATAACCTTATATTTCACTGAAATAAGTGTTAATATACTGCAATATTTAACCTGTGATACCATTTAGGTCACATTTTAATGCCTGCAACACAGCATATACTCACCTGAGACCATGAAAACAATCATACCTATATTTTTCTCTTGCTATTTATTAAGTATTCTCATCCTGTTTATCTCCAAGAGTCCTTTCATAAATTGATCATGAAAAAATCATGTGACAAACCATGACAATTGTATTATGGTGGAGTGAACTGACTATAGTAATCTAAGTAAATTTCTCTTTTTCAGTACTAACAGTCAAGATAATTTGCAAATCAAGGAGATAAAACAAACAAAAAACTACAGGATACAGAAACTTCACAAATGGCGTATTATCTCCTATCCGTATGGGCTCAGCCTTCAGTCAGACTCCATCATTCCTTATAGACTCACTTGTAAATGGGTGTGCCCAGGTCCTCCTGAATGAAATTCCTTAAAATGGAGTGATCCGTAGAATGTCTCTCTGTGATTTCTATGGTCTCTATGTGTATGTGACTTGTGAGAATTTCATGAACTTCTCCATGGCACCCACACCAATTTCTGAGTTTCAACAACATACATAAGACCATTGGCAACCATCCCATACCATAGCCTTTGCTATCTCCACTTCAGCATCAACATGTGAGAAATATGGCAACCAGCCAATTAACCCTCCCCCCTTCATCATCAAAACCTGGCAACCACCTTATAGTCCCCATAACTACCCCCCAACCAGCTTCTATGTCATCCTAGAGGAACATGGCAATGACTAACTTCATTTTCAACAGTCAGTAACCCTAGGGCCCTTTTATCCCCACACAGTGCCCCAGTGCAAGAATCTTCTTTGCCCCCATCATCAATGTTTTATATAAGGAACTTGGTAAAAGCCCCCATTTGCCCCCCACACCTGGCCGAAGTCCCTTTTACATCCATCTATCCGTCCCTCCCCAGCCAGTTCATGGTCCCTTTCACACATCCCCTTACACAGCCAGCTTAAGGTCCCTTTTACACCCCTCCACTCACACAGCCGGGCCAAGCCCCTTTAACCACCACCACCACCACCCCCCACACACAGCCGGTGCAAGGCCCCTTTAAACCCACCACCCCAAACACACAGCGGGCCCAAGGTCTCTTTCAGCCCTGCCCTTACACCTGCCCCCAGCCCCCCTCGCCCCGCCTGGATCTCCAGGCACCCTGGGCCCCACTTACTTGAGGAAGTATCTCTGGCCCGTGTGGTGAGGGCCATCTCCCAGCCAGGCGGCAGCGGCAGCTCGTCGGTCACGTCGTAGGACTGCTGGCGAAGGTGAGCGTGCTGCTGAGCCGGGCTGGGGGTGGCCCCGGCCCCGGCGCCTAGCAGGGAGGCGGGCGAGGAGTGTGAGCGGACATGCTGGGCACCAGCGGCGCTCAGCCGGGGCGGGTGGCTGCCCGAGTCAGTGCTGGACTGGCGGGAGTGCGAGCCCGAATCGGGCTCCTTGAAGAAGGACTCGGGCAGGATCTTCTTCCTCCAGGAGCTGGGCTTGGGGTTCATGACCGTGTTGAAGAGCGCCTCGAGCTCCGTGTCCAGGTCCTGGGTGACATGGATCACTTGCTGCCCCGGAGGCGGAGGGACGGGAGCAGGGTTCATCTTCTGCACCGCAACACCAGCTCAATGCAACAAACTTTCCAACGGGAGGCAAAGAATCAGCAGCGGATCAGGGATCCAGGGCAGATCTCCCCTGAAAACGTGTCTGTATCCCGTCAAGGGGTGGGCAGTCAGCAGCGAATGGGGGGAAAGTGTCCCAGGCAGCACCCCCACAAACTAGGGGATGGGCAATCAGCGAATGAGGGGTGCAGGTAGTGCCTGTATCCTACAAGGGCCTGGGCGATCAGCAGCAGATAAAGGCACTTCAAAGCAGCCCCCCACAAAACGTCACTGCACCCCTCCCTCGAGTGCCCGGCGACCGGACACTCAGCAACAGACCAAGCAAAGGGTCCGAGCCAGTCCCCTCAAACACGAATCTGTATCTCGCACGATCGAGTGCATCCGAGTCAGTCCCCACGCAAAGTTATGCAACTTTCTCTGAAACTTTGGCTACTTGCTGCAATTCCCTGGGGGGGGGGGGGGCTCCTTTAGAGGGCGAAGGAAGAGTTCTCGCGGCTGTCACCAGGCGAGAGCTGGCTGCTGTCCGGATTCCAACAGGGAGCAAGGCACGCGGGGAGGGGGAGTCTGGGACGTTCCGAATCCGAACGTGGGGACCCAGGGAACGTTCTATCTGCCACCCGTGTCCGGATCCGGGACGGAGTCGCTCGCTCGCTCTCCGCCTCCTCCTCCCCCAGCTGCACAGAGGCGGGCAGGATCAGGACTTTGCTTCTTCTGCGCTGGCACCGCGTTGCAAAGGCGAATTTGAAGGCGGGGGGTGATTCCGTCCTCACATCCTCACCATCCAGGCTGCCTAAGCCTGACGCACAAGGCGCTTTGCGCTGCGGGGGCTGCGCCGCTGCTGCTCCCAATCCCGGTCTGTCCCAAACAAACTTTGCGAAAAATTCTCAACCCTGAGAATAAGGCGGGGCAAAAAGTTGGGGAGCGGCATTATTCATGAGCAGTGTGCCTAGGGCAGCCCGAGCCCCGCCCCCTTCTCCTCCCTTCCGAGCTCCAGCCTCCCCAAAGCCGTCGTGGAGTCTCAGCTATGCGAGAAAAGGCTCTCGGGGGTGAGATCTGCGGGGCTTTCGTCACTCAGAGTACCCAGCGGCGGGGCTGGTTCAGGTTGCAACACTTGAAGGCACAAGTGGCCTTATTAGGCGGAGCAAAGGTGCCGCCTGGTCGGCTGTAAAGAGAGATCGGCCCGCCGATCCCCTAAGGGAGCCGCAGAAGGGCACAGACTCCCCCGGTCTGCTGTACCAGCCCCGATTGCAGCGTCGGGCCAACGTCCCAGTAACAACGCCAAGCGGTGCCGTTTTCCCATCGTTACCATATTTGGTATCCTGAAGAGGAAACTCGATCTCCCACCCCCGCTTCCCAGCTCCGTGAGACACACCCGGGCGGGTAAAGCGAGCTTTGACCTGTGGGAGGACCCCTGCCCTGCCCTGGGGGCGGGGGGAAGAACCCTCGTCTCCTGTGTCCCTGTGGGGAGAAGAGCCCGGCCCTGCGGGATCCCCCGGGAAGGGCTGTTCCCCATGGGATCCCCACAACTTGCGGGAGGATGGAGAGTGCCAAGCCCTGCTAGGGGAAGAAGAGCCCTGGCTTCCTAAGGGTCCCCCAACTCTTTAGAGGAAATCTCTTAATTCCCCCTAAAGGAGTGACGTGGCACCAGCTCTCCATCTTCCTGGTAAGGCTTCTCACAAGAGACCCCAACTCTCCCCTCTTCTCTTTAACTGTTGTAGTCTCCTGGGGCAGATATTAGGAAGAGAGCCTCCCCGGCCCCTTGGAGATGGAGTCCATCTGCACTACAACCACAAGTGTATTTGGGGACCCTGCAGAGTTAATTAATCCAACAGAGTTAATTCCTTATTGTAATGAGGGGACTATTGAAGTCTCCAGCTCCAGCTGGAACATGATCTGAGGTCACAGTTAAGGTCTCATCCATTCTTCAAGATGGGGGTTAAACCATTCTTTAACAGAGGTGAAGAAAACTGTGTTAACTGGTTGCCTTGACAGTTGTAATTTAGTTGACCTATTTTTTAAAAATTGCCCAATCTGAACCCATGCTTTATTTATGTGGGGAGGAAGGGGGGAAACTAGGATGTAATCTGAGCCCCCAATATGGATGTCATATTATGAACAGGGGGCCTGAACCATTCTACCTAGCATGGTTTGGTATAAAGGTGGCAAGTTAAAGTTTGTGTCTTTGCATTTATTTCATGCAACCGATATTTTATATTAAAATGGATTCTGAAACTTCCTTTGACATTCTATATTTCATTCAAGGTTGCAATTCAAAGAAGTTCCTATAATGCTAGGAAACAGTTTTTTAAAAACTGATTTCTAAATTGTTTCCTCTAACAGCATTTTGGTTCTAATGGAGACAGATTACTACTTTAAAAAAATTCTCAAGACTGTTCAAAAACTGTAATTCAGCTCTCAGAGCAAAAATTTCTTAGATGAAGCCATTTTTAATGGCAGTTTAATAGTGAATTTAGAGCTGAGATGCTCTGATGACAGGTGCCAATATAGGAACTAAACCGATAGAAATGGATGGCAGTGAGAAGCTGAGATCCATAATGACACAAATTATCTGTTTCTAGCTATTTCTTCTGCACTTTGTCCTGTAGCTACACAGAATCTATTTTAAACAGTTTATAAAGAGGTTGGCTTTATGACGACAAGTTAGATCTGAACTTTCTCTAAAATTTTATTATAGACCCACCTCAGTCTGATACATGCATAAGTAGTAACATTTCAGCTATAGTGCTGATATTCTTCTGCATCTGTCCTTATCTCTATTCATCAGTCATTTATATCCTACAGTAAGAACTAGTTGGGTTTGTCAGAATACATTTTGCTCCATTTAATTTACATCCAGTAGCCTAGTTGCCTTCAGAACTTTTTCCTCAGACTTACTGTAAACTAAACCTCTAGGCCTTGCAGAATCTCACTCATTTTCCCAGTGAAGATTCATGAGGTACTTTTGATGCTCTAGCTTGTCTTTGTAGCTTTTAAGCATACACTGATAGGGTGTGCATTACTGAGCTATTTGCACATTTCACAGGTACTCAGAGACATTAAACCTTTGGCTTTGTGCCTAACAATACACCCAAGGTGTGCCCCAAATGTTCTACTATTGCCCACCCTGATGTGGTTTATTTTGTATTATAACAGCCATGTAAAAACACTCTCTAGGAGACATAACTAAGCTAGCAAAGGACAACCTCCTCCCTTCCCTACCACCCCATGGATGCAACTACGTTGACAGAAAAGTGCCTCTTGTGGCATAGGTAATGTTGTTCAGGATGGTGGTGGTCTTATGCTGGCAGAAAAACTCCTTTGGTTGGCGTTTATGGTGTGGACAAGGCCTAAATTTGACTGACATAGCTATTATAGTACATTTCACTGGGGTATACAAGGTCCTCAAAGCATTTGCTGCTATAGTTATGTCAATTAGGGTATGATTTTCTTATTGCACCATTTCTATACCAGCAAAAGTCCTACTATAGAAACAGACATACCAGCTTAAAACTGCTTAGAATCATAGAAATGTAGAACTGGAAGGGACCTTGAAAGGTCATTGAGTCCAGTCCCCTGCCTTCACAGCAGGACCAAGTACCATCCCTGACAGATTATTTTGCCCCAGATCCCTAGACTGGCCCCCCT